GAGACTCAGAGCATCTATGAATAAGTAACTCCCCAGCTATCTCATCCAACACAGCAGTGGTGCTTTCAGCAGTAAGAGTCCTAGTGAAACTTCTAGAGTTGTTACCCAAGGAATCTGACTACTACAATATGCTGCTGAAGAAGTTGGCCCTCCCCTGTCACTTTGCTGTCTGGGAAGCCAGAGGTGTAGTACGTTGCCCTGAGAAACATCAACCTAATTGTCCAGAAAAGGCCTGAAATCTTAAATCAGGAAGTCACAGACTTCTTTGTGAAGTATGATTCCATTTGTGTTAAACTACAGAAGTTGGACATCAGATCCATTTGGCATCCTAAGCCAATATTGCTCAGGTTCTGGCAGAGCTGAAGGAATATGTCACAGAGGTGGATGCTGACTGTTCACAAAGCTTTGTGGGTCATTGGACAGTGTACCATGGGGAAGGACGTGTAATAGGAATTGGACCACAGTTGTTTAGTGATTATTCACCTTACTAACTATAGATAAGAGGTTTTCTTATAGATCCTGGGAAACTGGAGGATGTATTGCAAGAAGAAAAACAGGGCTGTAAAAGATAATGCAACCTTGAAACAAGATGGGTCCATTACTCAGAAAAGAAATATATTTTAAAAGCAGACCAAAGACAGGAGATGCTTTGACTTGGTTGCTGTGTCTGGACCCTGACCCCATCTGGGAGTCACCAACCATTCTCCGGTTCCAGGAACAGGCTAAGCTGTTTTTAACATCATAGAAGATTAGCCACCTTGGTATCAGACTTTGAGTTCCTGGAGGCCAGACTGCAGACCCTACACTCCTCTTCCCTTGTTACACTCCCAGCTGCACGTAGTTATTTTCCCTCACCCCTGTATAGTCAGCCAGCTGGCAGAAGAAAGGGGAGCAGGAGTTTTCCAGGGCATGAAGTCCACTGCTCACTCCATATTGCCACCAATCCCATACAATAAAAGGCTAATATGCAAATTGTCCCCTCAGGAGTTCAACCACTCGCTATGACATGCGCTGACCACCAGGGGCGGTGCGGAACAAAGGTCCTGGCCAGCAGCCAGAAGGCCCCTACAGCCCTGATTGCTGGCCAGGCCTAGGGACACTACTCATGCACAAATTTTGTGCACCGGGCCTCTAGTATAAAATAAAGAATCATAAATGATTCAACCTTGTCTCTGCTTTTTGACTCAGTAGTGACAGGCAGCTTTGGACACATTTAGTGTCCAGTTTCACCATCAAGGTGGAGCAATCTACAGAATGTCATGTAAGCACACTGCTTGATCTCATCCAGACCAAAGTAAATTATGTGGTCCAAGAGGTGACTGTTGTCATCAGGGACATCTTGCACAAGTACCCCAACAAGTGTTAAAGCATCATGGATACTCTGTATGAGCACTTAGATTCTCTGGATGAGCCAGATGCTCAAGTCAGATGATTTGGATTGTGGGAGAATATGCTGAAGGAATTGACAATGTTGATAAGTTGCTAGAGAGCTTCCTGGAAGGTGTTCATGATGAGAGTACCCAGGGGCAGCTCACTCTGCTCACTGCCATAGTGAAGCTGTTTCTCAAGAACCCATCAGAAACACAGGAGGTGGTACACCAGGTCTTGAGTTTGGCAACACAGGATTCTAATAATCCTGATCTTAGAAATAGGGGCCATATTTATTGGCATTTTCTCTCAATGGACCATGTCACAGCCAAAGAAGTAGTCTTGCCTGAGAAGCCACTAATCTCTGAGGAGACAGATCGTACTGGGCTGACTCTGCTGGATGAGCTCATCTGCCATATTGGTTCTTTGGCCTCTGTGTACCACAAGCCTCCCAATGCTTTTGTGGAAGGAAGTAACGGAATCCATTGCAAACATTTGCCAATACGTCATGGGAGCACAAATGCAGGTAATTTTTGTAGGTAGAGCCATACTTCATAGAATGGGAATTATTTGGGAAATTTTACTTCTAAGATAATTTTCAGAAACAGTTCTTTGGGAGTTCAGAACAAATGTTATTGTCCCAGTTGTCTTGCTAGATGGTATATCAAAGAGCTCTGATTGCTGTTGCTACCCCAGACACAAACTTAGTAATTGTGATTCCCACAAGCACAGGACATGGAAACAGAAAGATCAGGAGATATCTTTTGTTCCAAACTGCTCATTTTCAGATGAAAACCTCAGGTGCACAAAGAGAACAGGCTGCTCACAAATAAATTAGAGTCAGGACCAATTTAAAAATGGGACTCATGGTCAAATGCCCTTTCAACTTCATCCCACCATTTATTGACTACACAGTGACAAGAGATGACTAAAGATTGTTCTTATAACTGTTTGCTGTCTCTGAGGTTATTAATAGATTGTCCCATTTGATAAAGCATTGATAAAAATGAATACTCTACAGACTGTTCTTGGTATTTGGTATTACTGAATTGATGTTTCAGTTCTATTATTTTTATCAGCCCTTCACCCTCATATACTGGTACATACACCGAGAGACAAGAAATCAAATTAAATTATTCCAATTTATTGTAGAAATACTGGTCATTGATACATCAAGGAAATATCAAGTACACAAATAATAAATTACAACATACTGCATCATGGGGTAAGGTGGTCATGAAGCAAGAAATCAAGGCTGTATGATAGGTGTGCAGTAGATAATCTTCACAGAGAAGATGACCTTTACATTGAAATATTTAGAAAGATAATTTGGAGCAATGAAAGGGTGGAGGACATGGCAGTTGTATACTCAGTGTGTACTTGAAGTGGGCATGTGATAAAAGACAGGAAGGGACAGGACAACTATCAGAATGGTCTTGAGACAAAAAATATGTTGTGTACATAGAAAATATACAGTCAACAATTTGGTTAAAATATTAATCGAGTGGGAGAAAGAGCATTGTAAAATCTTATACAAGTGTAACGATAGACTGGATCCATTTCAAGAGATCCTGGTAGACCAGTCTTAGTGTTTGGATATGAATACGTATGCCATGGAAGTGATATAATCAATATCTGTGGAGATACAGCTTAGCAAGCTACACATTGAAAGGGTATATTTTCATTCTGTTGTCAAATTTTGAGGGGAAAATGGAAATAGAAAACCTGAGGTCCTAAAATTAAATAGTCATACCAAGTCAATCGCTCATTGTGTGGTTATGTGATCACTTTCATAGTCTGGGAAATTCACTTCTAATTGTCCCTTTTTAATTTTGGTATCCTAAACACATAAAATGTAATTAATTATTTTATTATTGAATTGTGAATAATACCCCCACACTGATTTTTCAGTACCTCCATAGGACATTTCTACTTAGGATAAAGATTTGAATTCTTTTTTCCTTCTCTTAATAATAAAAACATCAATGGCAACATTATTTTGCTAATTTTTCTTCACTACTTTGTATTCACAATCCACTCTATTATTTCTCACACCACATATACCCCAATTCCCTTTAAATGCCTCTGCAAATGTTTTATTCATTTCCTCATCACCATACCCTGTTTTGAATTTCTCTGCACCTTTGCATTTATTCACCACTGGTGTTTTCTCTGCCCCCTCTCCCTGCCTTACCTGGAGTTGATTTATCTCTGCAGACTTTTCTTTTGCCCAAACTTGCAGATACTATCTCTGATCAAGTTACCTTTTTCCTTCTTTGTCTAATCGCTTTCCACTTTGGGCTATCCGCTATCTACTGTTTCACAATGCACTTTTCTGAACAATTCTTATATCTTCCACCCTAGATATATTTTTCCTTCCACTCTCCCCCTGGTTATAGGCATGTGAAGGTTAACTTGGCTTCGCTTTTATCTCAAAATAATTCTCTTAGAGTGTTAATCTGCTTCACCAAATAATGAGCTCTCGTATAATGACAGAAATCTCCATCACCATATTTCCTCTTTACCAGCGCTCTGTAGTGGATGCTGTCAGACCCTTTCTAGTTGCATTTCTTTTGGTCTCCTAAAAATGACCACCTAAAATGAAGCTTAATTTAGGCCTAACTGGACTCCTTCCCATTAATGCATATTTCTGACTCCCAGTCATTTCCTTCAACATTCCCAGGTGTTCTCCTTTGATCTTAGAATCAAACACTTAACGCATTACTCCCAATTGCTTGTGTCAATTTATCCTTTTATTCAACTTGTTAACAAGAAGACTGATTAGTATTTCTCTCCATGTTTTAGATATGATCATTTCTCTCCATGCCCACTTATTTCATTTTAGCTAAGATCTTCATTAATTTATTCGTCTTTCATTTTGAATTCTTCCTTAGATATGTCCTATTATCTCATCAGATACTAACTTCATTAAACTCTCCACTGCCCACTCATCAGTTGGCAAATATTATTGAGTATTTTGTCCATGAATGCACTGATGATTCAGACAATATACTGATCTTAGGAAACTTTGAATCTTAGGAAAAAATGTATTATGAATATAAAATATTTGCATTTAAAAAGTTATCTATAGTGTAAGGTGTGTGTGTGTGTGTGTGTGTGTGGTTTGAAAGAGTCATCATCTTGATAGAGGAGCAATCCTGGCTAGAAAATCTTAAAGAATGAGGTGGGATTTATGATAGGCATTAAAGAAAGCAGGGATTCAAGTAAGTATAGAAGAGAGAGCAGAACATTTCAAGTCAGGGTGCTGATGTGAAGTGGTCAAGCACAAACCATATTAAAGAGAAAGTTGAAATGGGACCAGAGAGTAAAGCTTTTGAAATTACGATAAAATAGACTTAAGTTTTATATCATTGGAGATTAGTAAGATTTGGAGATTGCTTAGATGTATATATAAATTGGGTAATTTATATAATAATATATATTAGGACATTTTAAATTTATAGCACATATGTGTATGTGTGTATTTTCACAACAGACATTTAGTGCTGGCAGGTAAATTATGCCTAATCTTAATTTTACAGATGAGAAAACCCACATTGAGTAAATTATTTGCCACAACTCACTCAACTCGTAAGCAATCAGCCTGGGATTCCAATGTAGATTCCCTTCATTTCATAAGATCAATGATCTTTCTAACATACCAAAATATGTTTCTCCATATAATAAGATCAAAATAAGCAGGAAGCGTCCATTGTTAACCTGATATGAATCCATCAAAATATTTAACACATAATTACAGAATTTCTATTCAAATTTCTGACTATCGTTCTAAGTCTATGCTTAATATGTACCAATTTGGTCGTCTTATTGCCTCCAAATTCACTTCAGAATCATTTCTTTCTCCTTATCTACTCTACCTCTGGCCTGGCCTGGTGGGATATTCTCCCTGCATCTACACCCATCCACTCCATAAATATACACTCAGCACCCACTATGGATGAAATATTGGGATACACAATGTAAAAGAGTCAAGTGTGGAAAACTTAAAACACTTTATTAGTTCTCAGGATATGTTTGCTAAATGGTGCTTACAACCTAGTGGGAGATGTGTATCATGCCCATCACTTCTGTGAATTCTAAAAAGCGTTGAAAACTACATAAAACTGTTAAAATTTTACTCAACTCTTGACCAGCCTTCCTCTTGTTTTCCCTATTTGCACAGTTAAAGGCACACAGTAAATGCTTATTGCATGTTGATTTCCCAGAAGAGATGGGTGTAAAGAAAACAAGAAAAACAGGAATCAATCATATTGACAAATTGGGCAACGGGGATACTTAGATGTACAGAAACAGAATATTACCATGGGGAAAATAAATCACAATGTAAAATTGGTGGATCATAGAGAGATCTGAAATTTTGCCAGTATCCCCTTAAACAAAGATCTTGGCTTCCTGTATCCTTTGCTATGGATGAGAATGTTCTGAATGTACTTCTTATGAGTCAGTGGGAGATGTCTCCACTCTGTCTTCCAACTCACTGTAAATTGGTGAATATATGTTTAATTCTTCATAGAGACGATCTTCTGGAATCTGGTGAAGAAAACATTATTCACTATCAATCACCAAGAAGACTTGTTCAAGAGATATATATCATCTCTTTTTGTCTTTCTGGATCTCATATTCTCTCCCATTACACTCTAATTATTCCCTCCATCTCTAACAAACCAAGCCAGATTGGTGGGCCCAAAATAAATTATGTTGGTCAATGACAAATTGGTGAGTGTGTCTGAACTTTAGTACATCTACTGTCTTGATTGTCTTTAGAGGAAAGTGATCTAAACAAGGCAGCCACTCTTGAATGCTTCAGGCAAGTGGACAGATGGGCAACTCAAGAGAGTATGTTTCATCTGGAAGATCTGAGTAAGTGTATGTGCATCAAGTATTAGCAATTCTTTTTCCTACATTCAAGGTGCAATGGGTGTGTAAGGCAAGAGGAAATGCAGGTGATAGTTGTAAATTAAGGAGGAAAAAACACTGAGGCTTCAGAGCAAGTGGTAAGGTGAAAGCCAAGGAAAAAAGACAGAAGGGGAACAAATATAAGGGAGCTCTTCTGGGACAGAAAATAAGCCCAGGTATCTGAGTAGTTCCATCATATGCTAGCTGCTCATTCATTTCATGCCTAATACATTTCAAACCATCTGCATTTTCTAAAATGATAAAGGTTCAATTTTCTTAACCCTCCATCACAGAACTATACTGATATTTATGCTACTTAGAAGTAGGAAATGTGATTTGAAACATGAGATTTGGAAACAAAAACACTGAAACTTAAAGAAATACTTTCTTTTTTTTCTTTTATATTTTTATTGATTTCAGAGGGAGAGAGAGAGAGAGAGAGAGAGAGAGAGAGAGAGAGAGAAACATCAATGATGAGAGAGAATCATTGATCAGCTGCCTCCTACACACTACAGGCCCCACACTGAGGATCTAGTCAGCAACCAGAGCATATGCCCTAACTTGGAATCGAATTGTGACCTCCTGATTTATAGGTCGACCATAGAGCCATGCCGGCTGAGCCAAGAAATACTTTCTTGGAAGAAATGTTCTAGGAAATTTAGGCCGTATGTTTTAGGGAATAAGCTCAAATTCTTTAGCCTGTTATTCATGATTTAGTATCGGGCCTCTGCCTACCTGATTTTCTTTGAATAGTTCTCCAATTCTGTAGGCTATGAGTAACACAGCAGCCCCAAACCCCAGAATGGTAAGAAACAGGATCATCGCCACAAGTTCCTGTTGAACAATAACCAAAAAAAGACAGAGTAGGACACAAGTTAGGTGTTCCCGAGGTACATTCCCTTACAGCAGCTCCCATTTTCATCGCACCCACATGCGCACCCACATGCTCAGTCCCTATAGAGTCACACACACACACACACACACACACACACACACACACACGAAAACCAGGAGATGGTTACTCAAGGCAGATAACTCCAACCTTGCAGAATTGAGCTGGGGACGAGGGGGAGAGGTCATCAGCATCTCTGTGCATGAACCTACAGAATACCACATTATGTGATAGAGGTTGCAAAAAAAGGTTTGTGTCCATGAAAAAAGGAAACAGGGGCTTCTTTACTTAGATTAGGATTAAGAAATACATACTGTGGAAAAAAAGGCCGCTATACAGAAGTCATCCTCATAACCTTCCTGGCAAATATTGATATAAGCCAAGCTGTTCTTTAGGTTGGTGACCAGGATAAAGATTCCTGTTCCTGCAGCTATGCCACTGATCAAATTCGCTCCCAGGCTTCCTTGCACCTGATAATAAAAACACTTAGACCCGTTCCTGCACCTGCCAGTGCATTCAATTAACCCATCAACATTTCAGGGTTGGATGTATACAGTAAATTCTGCATATATACAAAATAGAGATTAAAAGAGGAGCTCTTTAAAATGTATTTGTTTATTAAGGATTTATAACTTTCTTGCTAGGACCGAATTCAGGAAAACCCACATGGGCACACAGTCTCTCCTCAAATAGTCTCCTTAATTGGAAACAAATCATTTCTATGATCACTAGAGGCCCAGTGCATGAAATTCGTGCATGGGGGGAGGGGGGATCCCTAAGCCCGGCCTGCACCCTCTATAATCTGGGACCCCTCAGAGGATGTCCGACTGCTTGTTTAGGCCTAAACCAGCAGTCGGACATCTCTCTCACAATCCGGGACCGCTGGCTCCTAACTGCTCACCTGCCTGCCTCCCTGATCAACCCTAACCACTCTGCCTGCTTGCTTGATTGCCCCTAACCACTCTGCCTGCTTGCTTGATTTCCCCTAACCACTCTGCCTTGCCTGATGCCCCTAACTGCTCCCCTGCCTGCCTGGTTGCCCCTAACTGCTCCCCTGCCAGTCTGATCACCCCTAACTGCTCTCTCCTGTCAGCCTGATGCCCCTAACTGCTCCCCTGCCTGCCTGGTTGCCCCTAACTGCTCCCCTGCCAGTCTGATCACCCCTAACTGCTCTCTCCTGTCAGCCTGATCTCCCTAACTGCTCTCCCCTGCCATCCTGATTGCCCCTAACTGCCTCTGCCTAGGCCCCACCTCCGTGGCTTTGTACAGAAGGACATCTAGAATATGTCTGGTCTAATTAGCATATTACCCTTTTAATAGTATAGAAATGTCTATACCAGGGGTCCTCAAACTACAGCCCACGGGCCACATGCAAATACAAATATTGTATTTGTTCCCATTTTTTTTTTTACTTCAAAATAAGATATGTGCAGTATGCATAGGAATTTGTTCATAGTTTTTTTAAAAACTATAGTCCGGCCCTCCAACGGTCTGAGGGACAGTGAACTGGCCCCCTGTTTAAAAAGTTTGAGGACCCCTGGTCTATACTTACAAGGATAAGGCTGGTATGAGGATATTTTCTAAACAAGTGGCAAGGTAGTTACACTTTATAGTTTTAAAATGACACAACTGATATTTTAATGATTATAACCAAAACAAAATAGAGTGGGGAGGAAAAGTCACATATCCACATTATCTCATAACATAAGAGACGATGGCATGTCTCCCTCAAGACTCCTAAAATTCAACTTTTCTTACCTTCTCAAGGATGAACAACAGAATTGCAACTCACCAGATATGTTGCATTTTTATTTTCAGACATAATTGACAAAAATCCAGAAATGGTAAACTGTCCAAAGGAAGAGAGGAAGCATAGTGAGTCTCTGCCCTTCTCTATGTCCCTTTCACTCCCCCTCCTCCAAACATAGGATCAAGTTGTGGATATTCTACAAAGTTAACATTTCAGGTTTTCCATAAGCTCACTATTTTCTTATTCTTATTTCCTATGGAGTGCTTCTCAAAGTTAATGTACTTAGGAATCAAGTGAGGGTCTTGTTAAAATGCAGATTGTTATTTAGTAGGTCATGGAAGGGGCTTGAGATTCTTAATTTCTTCCAGCAGGATGCTAAGATTGGCAGGCCATGGGTTACCTTTGGAGCAGCAAGGTCTAGTAGCACCTGCTCCATGATTCTGTCATAACACTACTCTCATTGCTTTGTAACTATTTGTTTGCATGAGAACCTTTTGTGTTAGACTGTCAGCTCATTTGAGTAAGAAATGTATTTGTGGCACATATATCTCTAGAGACTAGCATATATCATCTAGACATTTAGTAATTATGAGAACGTACATGTGAAAATATTAATGAATAACATAAGTTCAAAACAATCTCAAAGATTCAGATTGTTTGATGTGTTGAGAGACACTAATAAGCTAAGTGTTTGGAATGAAAAGATAGTGGAGAGAAGTTTCAAATAAAATATAGCCAACATTCAAGGAGAGTTCTGATCTAGTCCTAAGTCTTTAAATGAGTGACAAACCAATGTGATTCTTTTCTTTAGTGATTAAGGTATTACATATGTGTCCTTATCCTCCAATTGTCCCCCACCCACCCCCCACTTGTGCCCTCACCCCCTAGTGTCTGTGTCCATTGGTTAGCTTATATGCATGCATACAAGTCCTTTGGTTGATCTCTCCCCCTTCCCCCCACCCTCCCCCAATGTGATATTTTCTAGACTTAAAATGAGGTGAATGAGGTATAGATACAGAAAATGACATGGATTAATTGAAAATAATTAATGCTGAGTGAAGTAAGCCAGACAGTAGAGAGAACATGCTGTATAATACTCCATTTATATAAAACTTTGAAAATGCAAACTAATCTATAGTGACAGAAAGCAGATGAGTGAGTGAGTGCTTAAGGATGGAAAAACAGAGAATATAAGAAAGGAGGGACTACTAAGGGACACAAGGAAACTTTTAGAGATAATGGATATGTTCATTATATTGATATGATAATGTTTTCATATGTATGTGTGCATGTGTGAAAATTTATCTAGTTATACACCTTATATATGTGCAATTTATTGTATGTCAATTATAACTCAATAAAGCTAGATATGTTTGTAATCTCATTCAGTCATCTAGTTTTTAAATAGTAAAATGATTAAAAGAGATTCAATGAGAAAGCACCTGAAAAATTTTCTAGGGCATGAGAGAAGTTCATCAAATGCCTTTGACCTTGTCTCCTCACCTAAGCAGTCTCTTTTCCTTCTCTTTACTAAAATAACTTTACTAATGAGAGTGTTAGAGACATTTTCTAGAATTGGATTTCAAACATTTAGGTTCTATTTTTATTGGCTAAATTTCCCTTGAACAATTTGTTTAACTTTTATTAATCTCAGGTTTCTTATGCAATAAAACTGTGTTAAACCTGAAATGTTTAACCCACGGAGTTTCATAAACTGCAAATATATTTTATAAAATATATATACAAATATATAATATAAATGTATTATTATATATAATATAATATAAATGTATTATTATATATATAATATAATATAAATGTATTATTATATATAATCTGACTACTAGAGATAAACAACTAGGTAGATCTGTTCTGGGTAAGAGAAAAGCTATGTGCAGTGTTATTTCAGAGAAAATTTTAGGAATATACTCACAATTACTGCTCCCCAGAATGGGTAGCCTGCTTTAAATGATGAAAAAAAATCTTTCTCAAATTCTGAAATCTTGAACACGGAGTAGACAATTGTTCCAAAACAAAAACACATGAAACCAATCAGAATTTGTGTTACCTGTAGAGAAATGCATAACTCTTGTGGAATAAAAAGATATTTCCCCGAGAGTGTATCAATTTCCTTACAATTAAGGCCAAATGTAGTAAATTGCTGTGGTGTCTTAGGCAGCCCTGAGAAAGGATCCACATGTGCTATTTTCCAGCATCCTCTGACCACTCTAAGAATTGATACAAGCATGACCTAATGCAGGAATGGCCAATATAATTCTCATCGCCTTTACTTAGTGAGATATGGTGGGCATCAATAATTGTCCTTTACATCTAAGAGAAGATAAAGATTACAAATCCTTCAGAGCAAGATATTACATTAGCCACCAGCAATTGGCCAGAGTTTGCAGATCCTATTTGCCTTCTCATTCTAATATGAAATGCTTCTTTCTACCCAACAGGACCCAGTTGGTGTCAACTCATCTACTGAATTCTTTGCTCCTCATGAATCCTACTGAGAAAACTGTAGATGCAACCTAATGCTCTTTCTTAGAACCAGTCCTTATTTTAATTGAGGTTGAAAAAAGCTCACTTACCCCTAGGAATTCCAGCTCCCTCTTCAAAAATGTCAGCCATGTCTGGCGTGGTGATGGGGCAGCCTTCTCCAGTAGGGTGCTATCACGAAAAGGTGCTTCTGAAAGTTCAATTTCAGACACTCTGTGAAGTTTAAACAGAAATTTAGTCATGAGAAAACTTTCTAGCTTTCTATGTCCAGTTTTGAACTCACAAAAAGGAAAGCTTTCATTGTTTACTTTTTCAAAACAGTCTTGCAATTAAAATTTTTATTGCAATGAATAAAAAACTAAGGTTCAAAGGGTCCAAGTAACTGGTCAAGATCGCTATCGAATCAGTGACTAGAGCAGACAAAATGGAATGAACACTGTGCCGAGTCTTTTTATTAACCCAAGAATTAAACCAAGTTCTTTCCCAATTAATCTGTGCTGATGAGTGAAAATAAAAGCGATCAAACATGTTTACCTATGCATATCTCAGTCCTTTTAACGTAGAAATGTGTGTGGCTATATTTTGTCACTGGCACACCCAATTTCATGTGCCTTCAAAGTAATGGCTTTGAAGGGTTAATTGAATTTCTAATCCTGTTTTCATCCTCAGAGGAGGTTAACTGGAAATACTCTCCCTTCTAAAGATGTGGAATACACCTAACATTTAACAATCCAACATTGATTCTCAAAGTTCTGTTTTCAGCCTCTCCCAAGACTGTTCAAAGGAAAGTCTTAACATGTGTTCGGGTTTGTTATTCAAAGGAAACCTAAATTATCCACCTCTATTGGCCTTCACTCCAAGAACATTTCCCCTCTAAACAGTGGGACAGAATCCCACAGCTTAAGGTTAACAAAGACTACCCAGAAAGGAGCCCAGGGTCATTTTTAAAAGCATCTTTCCTTTAGCACACATCAGACACAGAGCTAGAAACCTATATGGATAGAACAAACTCCCCTACCTCATACCTAGAATGTGAGCCTCTCTCTATTGTTAGGAAACTTAAGTTATTCCCAGTTCACAAGCTGAGTAAAAACCTTCCTCCCCATCAACCAGAGAGAACTACTGGTAAGGTATAGCAATATATTAATTAAACCAGATAGGTCTGTGACTGAGTCCATGAATTGCCATCTCCCCACCATTGTGACTATCTCTGTCTGGATCACTAAATAACTGAGCATAGAAAAAAAATAACAATGAACTTGTATACATACATATATGCATAACCCGTGGACACAGACAATGGGGTGGTGAGGGCCTGGGGAGGAGGAGAGGGAAGATGGGAGCGGGCTAGAAGAGGTTAATGGGGGAGGGGAGAAGGGAAGGAGGAGCTATGTAATACTTTCAACAATAAAGATTAAAAGCAAAAAAAGAAATAGGTCAGAAGGTAGGTAACATGGATTTACTTAACAGAAAATGAAAAAAATAATAACCTGTGCCTACCTGGAGGGCCCTTGTGGATTTGGGAGAGCAAGATCTGCTCTGCTTCTATTTTCCGACTCCATTTTTTTTTAATTAATTGAGCTATCCAGTGATGAAGAATATTGTTAATGACAGACAAGCCTCGGTGTGCTTCCTTTCAGGGTGTGCTCTGGGTGGACAGTTAAAATGGATTGGCTCATGACATTAATGATTATCTTTATAGCTAAGACATTCGTCAGGCAGATAAATTTACTGGCTGATTAAGATCAACAGGGTTTCTCTTGCTATTTTGAAGAGGAAAAATTGAGTAGTCTAGTGAGACTACTGTAAAATAACTCTGCCTGAGACCAGCAGGATTCACAGACCTAAAAATGAAACAGTTTAATGATGATTGAGAAGGTGAGAAAAAAAAACTACAGAACAGAGAGAGCTGTCCTTCTCTACTTGCATCCCAGTTCAGCCATTTCTATGGCGGAAGCTCTCCCATGGTACCTTTGAAAAGCCTATCATCCCTGTTTAAATCATACTTAGGTTCACAAGTAGGAGTATGCCTTAGCCTCTGGATCTCTGCATTCATCTCCGACTTCAATATTTATTATCTTTCTCTCTCTTCCTCTCTTTTGGACACAATGTATCTGGCTCTGCCACAGATGGTCACAGAAACTAAATAGGCAGAGTTCTAACTGCTGTGCACCATTCCTGACAGACTGAGACAATTTCACACTAAAGATTCCATTGTCCGCTAAATTATTAATGGTCTGCTGCTTTGATTTTTGTGATGACCAGGATGCGATAGCAGAAACACTGAGGGGCATGGACTTGATGGCAAATCCTATGAGTAGGTCTCAGTAGCATTGGACTGAGCAGTATGTCACAATTAGGGTTAGAGCTACCAGTAAACCAATGTGTTTGTTCTAATTGCATAACTAGCTAGACTATAACAAAACAAATATACAGGTGAGATTCACAGACTTTCATTTCAGTTTAATTATAGACATAACCTTGAATGCCTCTTCATTAAACTGTAAGATACTACAAATTGTACCTCTAATCATCTGGATTGTTTCTCTGAGGTGTGATAAAATCCGAATTCTCCAGGAAACTAAGGTAACTATATGAACAGAGGACACGAAAAGATATATGTATTAGTATGCCTTTTGTAACAAAAATTTATTAACTCATGTGCCATCTTCCCACTGTGTCTTCAGGAATTGGTGGACCTGAGCAATGTGTTATTATAATTAAAAAATAAACATCATTCAGTTATACACTCATCCAAAAAGGACTTATTGTAGCATGTCAGGTACTGCTGGTATCACTGAGCATGCAGAGATGAGTACCGTGGTCCCCGTTCCTTGTCCAGCTCACAGCAGAATAGAACGGACAAATGAGATATTAATGATACAATATGTCAGAGGCTGCTAAACATAGGCTCAGGAGATTCCTTTCCTCACCCTCAGTGAAATTACACCACCTCTGCTGGAAAAGACCTGAAGAAATGCCTGTTTTGGTATTTTCTGGGAGTATACAATAGTTCATTATGTGTGCAACAAATAATCAGAAATTAGACTTGAGATTTAGACAGGAAACAGATGGAGGATGGTCTTCGGTGTTTGGACATGATGCTATTTTGTAAGAAATTTCAATAGAACCTTGAAAAATGCAAACCTCCAAATTGCTTCATATACCAATTTCCACCAGCATCTTCTTCCTACACTTTCTGAGGTGTGTATTATCTTCTGCACCCACACTACAGGTCCTTATACCCGTGCTCTGTCATCTTTCCCAATAGTGAACATTGAAACATATGATAAAATCGTTTTTGCTTTTTGGTGGGGGCAAATTTATCAAGATGAGTTTTGATCACATGAGTGCCTGAAAGGAAGAGATCATTGAGCTAACATTTCTTCCCCACCACATAATTTCCTCCTTCTGACAATGCATTAGCACATGCTTTTTATCCACTCTCCATCTGGCTTCCTCTTTGACAAGCAACGGTTCTTTTCTCACTTACACACTAAATTTATTTCCCCAAACTCAAAAGAAATTTGGTCTCAGATCACTTCTGAAGAATTGTTTTCTCAAACTGAATGTTCAAATTATTTAAAATAAATATGCATAAATTTGCATGTTACACATTGAAAGTGTACTATCTCTTCTGATATTCTCAAGGGTCTCTCTCTCTCTCTCTCTCACCCTGAGCCAAGTATGGGTTCCATAAATATGGTTAAGATGCCAAGGTTAAGAGAGAGTCTGAGACTAACTGATATAAACCTCCTAATGTTTTACAGATTTGACAAAATATCGTTCACAGAATGAGGGGTGGTCTTAAAAGGCCTAGTGCTGAGTCCAAACTTGAACAGAATACCTTTGTCTCTTCACTTATATGACCTCAGAAATGCAAAGAGAAAGATTTATGCAGACTACCCAGGTGTTTAATATCACTCTCTGTTATGTGCCAAACTCCTAACACAACACATAGCACATAGTAGGCACTCCCTAAATGATTGTTGAATGTACTAAAAAAACAAATAGTCATATATATATAACTATTAAGGAGAGATGTAAGAATTAGTAGTGTAAAAAGATCTTTGCACATATGGTAAACAAGTAGATAAAAGTAACTTGTGGGTATGAACTTATAGATATTGTGGATGATTCAGTTCAGCATCAAGAGAGGACAATTTATAGATCAGATATATAAATACTTCAGCAGTAGATTTATAAATCAGGAGCCGGATATATCAGGAACTTTAACATCAAATTTCCACCTTAAAAAGAAGACCATTGAAGTCATCAGAGGGTATGGGGGAGCCACAGTGGAAGTGTGAGGCTATGTGCCATCTTCCTTGAATACCTGACCAGAGTCCCAGAGCAACAACAGCAAGACCAATGTCCAGGAATTGTGATGCTGTTTCCTGTTAGCTTTACTTTTATTTCACCCTCATAAAAACCGTTGAAATAGTATTTGCTACTATTATACTTACTTTACAGATGAGGACAAATGGGTCAGAGAGGTTAAGTAACTTGCTCAGATTAACACAGTATCAGAATGTGAACCCAGATCCATGTGACTTTAAAGCCCTTATTCTTTAGTTCTCTGCTTTGCAGTTCTCACCATGCTTTGAAGAATAAATGTTGACCGTGCTCTCAAAGTCCCTAATCTAAATCATGATTTCTGTATCAGGGCATAGCTCCTTTATTCTTGTGGTTTACATGAAATCCATTGGTGATAGATTAAGGAGGTGGGAGAAAGCAAAGTGGGGAAACCTCTGGGATTGGATGAAAAGTTAAGATGTTAGAAACATATTTACATAGATGGGTTCAGGATAGTTAACAGTCAATGATTAACTCACTAACAATAAGGGGATTTGTGGTCTCTTCAGAGCCATGCCTGTGCTTCGAGGGGTCCAGAAAAAGGGAAATTACTTTGACATTACAACAATCTATTACCAGAAATGCAAAAAGAAGATAGACAGGCTCAGTTAAGATAAAGATTGACCTTTGTCAGGGAAGATGCTGGCCTAGGACGTGACTACCCACCATAAACTGCTTTTATTTTAAAAGTTTTCATTTCAGACCATTCTTTGTGGTTATTTTTGTTGTTGTTGTTGTTGATCCTCACCTGAGGATATTTTTTTCTTTGATCTTTAAGAAAAGTGAAAGAGAGGGAAAGACAGAGAGAAACATCAATGTGAGAGAAACACATCGATTGGTTGCCTCCTGCATGAGCC